CCGATCCATGGGATGGGAATGGGGCTGATCCCGATCCATGGGCTGATTCCGATCCATGGGATGGGGCTGGGGCTGATCCCGATCCATGGGCTGATTCCGATCCATGGGATGGGAATGGGGCTGATCCCGATCCATGGGCTGATTCCGATCCATGGGATGGGGCTGGGGCTGATCCCGATCCCGATCCGCGGGATGGTCCCGATCCATGGGATGGGAATTGGGTTGATCCCGATCCACGGGCTGGGGCTGCTCCTTCGGGAGCTCATCCTGATGGGAAGGATCCCAGTGGGATTCCTGATGGGAATGGTCCCGGTGCTGGTGCCGGTTCTGGTCCCGGTCCCGGTTCTGGTGCCGGTTCTGGTCCCGGTTCTGGTCCCGGTCCCGGTTCTGGTCCCGGTGCCGGTTCTGGTCCCGGTGCCGGGTCCATCCCAGCGGCACGGGCAGTTCTGGGGTGTCCGGAGCAGGCAGTGTCCCCTCCCGTCCCCTCCAGGCGCAGCTCTCGGTGCTGGAGCTCCGGGCCCGGCCGCTCCCCGGGGCGCCTGCGGAGCTGCGGCGGGAGCTGGAGCGGATCCGGCTCGGCCGGGGGGACCTGGAGGAGCAGGTGAGGGGACAGGGCCGGGGGGACACGGGGACAGCTCGGGGGGACACGGGGACAGGGCTGGGGACACGGCCGGGGGGACACGGGGACAGCTCGGGGGGACACGGGGATAGCCTGGGGACACGGGAACAGGGCTGGGGACAGGGCCGGGGGGACACGGGGACAGCCTGGGGACACAGGACAGCCTGGGGACACGGGGACACGGCCCGGCCCCACAAGGTCCCCTCTCCACGTCCCCGCAGATCGCGCTGCTCAAGGAGCAGGAGCTGCAGCGCCATCCCAGCGGGATTTAGGGAATTCCATCCAGCAGAATTCAGGGAATTCCATCCAGCGGGATTTAGGGAATTCCATCCAGCAGAATTCAGGGAATTCCATCCAGCGGGATTTAGGGAATTCCATCCAGCAGAATTCAGGGAATTCCACCCAGCGGGATTTAGGGAATTCCATCCAGCAGAATGCAGGGAATTCCATCCAGCGGGATTTAGGGAATTCCATCTGCTCAGGGCTGAGCCAGCCCCATCCCGGCCCGTTCTGTCTCCTCATTCCCTTCCCTCCGGGAAAAAGCCGCACTTTTCCCACCAGCCGACAAAATTTGTCTGTTTTTTAAACAATTTTGGACCTCATGGATGGTTCACCCGATTTTCCTGCTGCAGTTTTAAACGAGAAAAAGAAAAGAAATGGAAAACATTCCCTTTTTTTAGCCCCAGAAGACCCAACTGATTTATTCCACCCCATCTCAATTTCCCCCCTTTTTCTAACAAAAACCTCCCCGGATTTGTGCTTTTGAAGGATTTTTTTAGGAACCGGTTTTTCTATGGGATTTTTGGGGATTTTTACTGGTGCTCTGAGGTTGGGAAAGCCACGGGGAGGGGGGTGGTGGCTCTGATCCCCCTCAGTCCCGGCGGGAATAAACGTGGAAAATCCAAATTGGGAGCTCTGAGGGATCTGTTTTTTGGGGAAGGTGGCATTTTGGGAATGCCAGATTTGGGCTGGGTTGAATTAGGTCCCTAAATAATAATGAATAATAAGAATAATATTAATAATAAACAGAAATAAGCAAAGAACTGCAGGAAATCCCCACGCCCTACAGCCCAACCCATCCCCCTTCTATAGGGGACCCCAAAAACTGCGAGACCCCACCCAAAACCCTTTTTATAGGCTTGGGCAGCACCCCAAACCCACCCCAAAAATCCACCCCAAACTCCCCCAAAATCCTCCCCAAACCCCCCAACCCCCCCCAAACCCCCCTAAAATCCACCCCAACCCCCCCCAAACCCCCCTAAAATCCACCCCAACCCCCC